AATAAGATCATGTGATGGCTGCCTGATTAGGTCCTTATAGAAACATTCTTACAGTTCTGTTCAGCTGAAGTGTCACCTAGAATGTCTTAACATTTTGCAATTTATGCCTTTTAGTCACACTTAATCTTTTTTTTTTCCCCTTGAGGCAGAGTCTCACTCTGTCACCCTGGGCAGAGTGCCATGGAATCATCAGAGCTCACAGCAACCTCTGTCTCTTGGGCTCAAGTGATCCTCCAGCCTCGGCCCACCGCAATAGGCCTGGCTAGTTTTTCTATTTTTAGTAGGGATGGGGTCACGCTCTTGATCAGACTGGTCTCGAACTCCTGAGCTCAAGCAATTCCCACCCCTTTCCCCCCCCCCCCACCGCCTCGGCCTCCCAAAAGTGCTAGGATTACAGGCTTGTGAGCCACTGCACCCACTGCACCCAGCCTGTCATGCTTAATTTTAAATATCATAGGCAGTACAACATTTAACACATATGTTAATTTTATTGAATAATTAAGTAGCCATTACATAGAGATTGCAAGTTATTTTTGGTCCTGCTTAGAGACAGGTGTTTATTCTGAGGCGAAACGAGAGCACAAATCCACAGTTCTACTGCTACTGCTATTGGCGTGGTTTGGACACAATCTTCCCTCAATACTCGTTCAAAGCAGTCTTTTCTTTCACCTCTCCCTTCAGCTGAGGGAGTCACAATATTTAAAATAAGCTTGTAAAAGAACCCTTCTGTATCAGAGGTAGTTTTGTGCCTGCATTGAGAATCATAGAAGACGTTTGGTCAAAGGCTCCATAAAAGGGGCAGAAAAGGTACACCAGAGTGCAGAGGTGGGATCTGTTTTCTTTTCAAGCTAATTGGCCACAATGGCAAAAGTATCAACCAAAATTTAGAAAAGCCTGTCTATTATTTAACAACAAAGCATGCAGTAACATAGCCTGTGCAGACAATAGCTTTCAGAGACAAATTTAAATTTGGCTTCAGCACCAAGGATGCATTTTAAAAAGTGAAAAGTACACATATGTGCAATGACCAGTATAGTGGGCTGAATGGTGCCCTCTTCTCCCAAAAGATATGTCCATATCTTAGTCCTCATAACCTCTAATATTGCCTTATTGAAAAAAAAAAAAGTCTTTTTTGACTAAGTGAGGTGAGGATCTTGAGATAAGATATCATGAATAATCTGGGTGGGCCCTAAATACTACCCAAGTGTCCTTTTCAGAGAGAGGGAGAGGTAGATTATATATACAGAGGGGAAGGTGATGTGAAGACAAAGCAGAGGGACATGCAACCACAGCCAAGGAATGGAAGCCTTGGGCAGCCAAAGAAACTGGGAGACGCAAGGAATGGATGTTCCCTAGAGACTCCAGAAAGGAGTTCAGCCCTGCCAATGCCTCAATTTCTAGACTGCAAAACAGCAAGAGAATAAATTTCTATTGTTTTAAGCTACTATGTTTGAGGTTAATTTGTTACAGCAGCCACAGGAATCTGATACTCATTTTGGTGCTGAGAAATGGGGCACCAATGCAACAAATACTTAATAATGTGAAGGGGCTTGGGAATTGGATAATGGGTAGAGACTAGAAGAATTTTGATGTGCGTGATAGGAAAAGTATAGATTGCTTTAACTACACTGTTGGTAGAAATATGAACGTCACAGGCATTTGGGGGGAGGGTTCAGAAGGAAATGAGGAATAGTGTATTGGAAACTGGAAGAAACACAATCCTTGTTATTATAAATAGGGGCAAAAAGTCTACCTGAATTGTGTTCTATGAGTTTGTGGAAAGCAGAACTTGCAAGGGATGAACTTGGATGTTTTAGCTTAGGAGATTTTCAAGCATAGTATTAAAGGTATCGCCTCGTTTCTTTTGATGCATAAATAAGAGAGAAAACAGATACATTGAGGAAAGAACAGTTAAGCAGAAAAGGATCAGCATTAGATGACTGGAGAGATTCTGAATCTATTTAGATCGCAAAAAATGTTCAAATGAGGAGTTTCACTGTTAGTAATGTGTGCTCTGGAAATAAGGCCAAACGTATGGCTGGACAACCTTCGCCTAGTGCTGAAGGGATTAGGTACTGACTCATGGTTTCACTCAACCATCCCAGTAGAAGCCAAAGATTAGAGATGGAGTTATACAAGAAAAATCTCCCACGACCCTCTTTTCTAAAGGTGTGAATCAATGTGACATACTTGGGAGACCTACAAAGTTTTGAGAATTTTACAGGAGCAGAAACACTTCCAGCATGGCCTAAAAGGGATAGAGACAGAAAAAAAATGACAAAAGATTGTCAGATTGCCAAAATCCTAAAGGCAGGCAATAGGGTGATAAAACTATTCAGCTGCAAACATGTGCTATACTTCAAGATAAAGGAAGGATCAACCTGAGGGCAGACCCATGGGCACATAGGCAGAAGCCCAATCCATGGTCTAAGAAGGAAGAGCTGTAAGCCCAAAGGGTGAAGCCCTGAGACACAGAAGATTATTGCTAGGCCTTTAAAACTAAAGGAAATTTTTCTGGTTGGATTTTGAAACTGATTGGAACAGGTGACTCCTTTCTACGTTCCATTCTCTACTTTTTGTAATAGGAATATCTGTAATTGTTATCGTATGTCCGTTGCAGTTGCACCACTGTATTTTGGAAATAGATAACTTCTTTTCTGTTTCACTGGTGCAAAGATAGAGAGGAATTTTGTCCAGGTTGGATCATACTCAAGAGTTGTACTCATACCTGACTGAGATCATCTAAATGATGGGATTGGGGATTTCTGAAATGATGACATTTAAATGAGATCTTGGACTCAGAGTTGATGCTGTAATAAGTTGAGGCTTTTGATAATGTTAGCATGAGTCGAATGTGTTTTATACATGCACCAGACATAAATTTGGGGCCAGAGGGTGAACTATGGTAGGCTGAGGCTGGCTTCCAAAAAGATATGTCCACATTCTTACACAAATGAAAGGACTAGTATAGTGGGATGAATGGTGTCCCCTCCCTCCCCAAAGATATGGCTATATCCTAATCCCCAGAATTTGTGAATGTTATCTTATTTGGAGAAAAGGTCTTACAGGTGTAATTAAGTTAAGGATATTGAGATGAGGCGATTATCCTGGATTAATCTGGGTGTCCCTACATATCATCATAAGCATCCTTCTAAGACAGAGGTAGCGGGGAGATTAGGTACTCGGAGAAGGTGATGTAAAGATGGAGCAGAGAGAAAGATGTGGCAATCAGCCAAGGCATGCCAATAGCCACTATAAGTTGGAAGTGGCAAAGAAAGGTTCTCCTCTAGAACCTCCGGGGGGAATATGGCCCTGCCAACACCTTAATTGTGAACTTCTGGCCTCCAGAACCATGATGGAATAAATTTCTGTTGTGTTAAGCCAGCAAACTGGTGGTAATTTGTTACAGGAGTGAAGGGAGACTACTATAACTAGTTAACATTTTAAGGGTTTTGCCTTTTTAAAAAACATTCTCAAAAAAAAAAAAAAAACCCTGTATAGGCTTGGCGCCTGTGGCTCAAGTGGCTAAGGCGCCAGCCACATACACCTAAGGTAGTGGGTTCGGATCCAGCCCTGGCCCACCGAACAACAATGATGGCTGCAACCAAAAAATAGCCAGGCATTGTGGCGGGTGCCTGTGGTCCCAGCTACTTGGGAGGC